GAGTGGGTAGGGCCTGGGAGTGATGGGATGGACTCGCTTCCTGGGGCCTCGACTCTGACCTCCCTCACTCGTTCACTTGCTCACTTCTGCACCCTTTCATTTCCTCCTGCATACGCTAGGCCCGTGGTGCAGTCCGGCTTTCCTGAGCCCCTTCCTCTGTGTATCGCCTGGCCACGGGGTCACAGCAGGGACCATGACCACATCCCTCCATGTTCTGATCCAGTGGCTGGCTGAGCAGAGCTTCCTGGCCGTGGAGGGACAAAACGCAGCTGGAAGGCGCTGTTCCCTGTCCTAGCTGTCTAAGCTTGCTCTAAAGCTTGTCTCTTTTACTGCGAGACAGCGTAAGTCATCTGGCCCAGGGAACATTTCCAATAACTGCTAGTATCACAGTGACTAAGAAAGGAGAGGGACATGGAACTAGCCATCCCCAGGCGAGCGTTTTACTAAAGTTCTGTAGCACTACCAGACCCTGTCCGGCTTGCTGGGACGTGGTTAAGGGCAAGTTTCACAAGAGGGAGTTGGGCGTCAAGTTGAAGGGACGAGTAGATGATCACCAAGCAGATGGAAAGGGAGGACATCCCAGGCAGAGGAGCCCTCGTCGACAAAGACACGGAGGTGGGGACTCAAGGTTATCCAGGGAGTCCAGGGTGGTTAGAGTATGGGCTGGGGGCGGGTAGGGGTGGGGATCTGCCTGGGAGACAGCGTGGACCAGGATGTGAAGCCTCCAGCATCTCACCGAGGAGACTGAACCCAGTTCTGAAGGCTGCAGGGAGCCACAGGCTCGGGTAGGGAGGACCCCAGGGGTTCTCAGGGTTGGCACCTATGCACAGTTTGGGCTGGGTGCTGTTCTGTGGGTCCTAGCATATTAGCAGCATCCGGGTCTCTACCCACCACCCTGCCCCCTGCAATCGTGACAATCCCAAATGTTCCCCAGACATGGACAGATGTCCCTTGCAGGGCAAAGGGTGAAAATCGCCCCTTGATTTCAGAACTACTGCATCAGGGGGGAAATGACATGACTGCCTTGTGCTTCCAAGAGCTGGCCCTGACCACACCACAGAGAACAGAGTAGAGGGACAGAGCCTGGAGGCCAGAGGACCAGCTGGGAGGCCACTGGAGCATCACAAGTGAGAAATGGCCAAGGCCAAAGCAGGGGCCGGTCTGTGGGGCAGGAGGAAAGGGCCAGGTGATCCAGACCGAGGCAGGGTGTTACGGGAACTCCCTGTGCTGTCGCTGAGTTCTACCAGATCCTCCGATGGCAGGTACAATATGGTGGGTGCCCAGATCAAAGCCCATCTCGAAGAGAGAGCTCCGGGCCACCCGTGGAGCCAGGCTGAGTGACTGAATGTCACACGGTTCAGCCAGAATCTGCCACTGCCCAACCCCAGCCCGAAGAAGAAGGGGTTTGGGGAAGGGTGTGGCCATTGTGCTGAGCGCCCCATGCTGCCTCTTGGGGAAGGGGATGCTTCCCTTTATCTTGGGCAAAAGCAGGGGCAGGGCGGCTACAAGGGACCACTCTGAGAGCTCGGTATCCAAGGAGTTTAGGGCCCACAGGCCTGATAGGAGGTTATTGTCCGCTTTGTGTGCTGAGTGCCCAGCACCCTGGGGCAGGCACGCTGGAGGTGCTCCATAGAGGTGTGTGACATGGGAGCCTGAGGGTAGATGGGCCCGAGGTGGCCAACCTGGGGCAAGATGGAATACCTGAGCTGTGAGTCGGGCTGCTACAGGTGAAGGGCAAAGGGCAACCGCCGTCTCCAGGGAAGAAGCCAGCTTTGGGGCGTCTCTAACCCAAGAGGCTTCGAACTCTGGCCGAGCAGCCCTCATCAGGAGAAGCCTGGAGGACCACCATTCATGTTGGAGGCAAGGGGATGCAGACAGTTGTGGCCCGCAGGAGGCTCGGGCAGTTCCAGTGAGGGGAGCTGTGGTCAGAGGGATTACCAAGAAAGCCTTCAAAATGCCTCAGAGAGTGAGCCACAAACTGCTTCCAAAAGGCACCTGGGTGGTTCAGTCGTTAAGCCTCTGCCTTTGGCTCAGGTCATGATCCCAGGTTCCTGGGATCAATCCCCACATCATGCTCCCTGCTCAGCGGGAAGCCTGCTTCTCCCTCTCCCACTACCCCTGCTTGTGTTCCCTCTCTCGTCGTGTCTCTCTCTGTCAAATAAATAAATAAAATCTTAAAAAAAAAAAAAAAAAAAGCTCCAATGTGAGCGGGGTGACACCTTTAGTTGCCATAGAACAGAGGCCTGGGGGAGTTTTGGGGGAGCTTCTCCCCGACCATACCTGGCAGAGTCAGGAGAGAAGTTGCCAGCTCCTCCCCCTCTGAGGCAGGTTCAAAGCCTGGGTTCAGCTGGAGAAGGGGCGGAGCTCCCCCTGGCCAGAGACTGGAGCTCTGATGAGTTCCCAGGACAGGACTGAGGGTCATTTCTTGCCTGAGACACCTGGAAAAGCTCCAGGACCTGCCCAGGATTTCATGCAGAGGCTAGGGCTAGGCAGACTCCCATGGCCCGTTTAAGGTGCAGTGTGGCTTCTTCTTTGGACCAGTGCCAGCTGGCTGCCATGCCCCTGTTCTGCTCTCCAGCAGTGGGCTGACCCCACAAACTACATTTCCCAAGTTCCTTTGTCAAATGTTTCCCACCTTAGGTTCAGCCAATGGGAGGCACTGGTGGGAGATTAATGGGAGGGACGGGAGGGACAGGAGGGAGAAGACAGGACTTGACATTTCCCTTCTCTGTGCTTCTTGTGTCTCCAGCAGAGGCTCTGCCTTCTCCATGGTTCCAGATTCCACCAATACCCTCGCTCCTGGCTGAGGAACCGCAGAATCCAGCCCCAGAGGTTGTGGCTGCTTCTCGCAGTTGCTAATCTCTGGGTGGTCTTCCCTTCCCCTAATTGTTCTTTTAATCCCTCTAACATCTTTGTAACTAATTCCTCTCTATTAAATAGCCTTTACAATATATATTTTTGTTACCTTTACATTTTTCTTTTTAAATTTAGAGATGGAGAGAGTGCACCTGGGGTTGGGGAGGTTGGAGAAGGGCAGAGGGAGAGGGGATCTCAAGCAGGCTCCACACCGAGCTCAGAGCCCAACACGGGGCTTGACGTGGGGCTCGAACTCGTGACCCTGAGATCATGACCTGAGCTGGAGTCAAGAGTCGGCGCTTAACCAAATGAGCCACCCAGACGCCCTCAAATACCCTTTAGAGAATCACTCGGCAGAGGGTTTGCTTTCCTCTCGACTTGACTCTTGCCTGCCCCTTGGTCCAGCTGATGGAGGTAGGCTCCCAAGAAGATCCCAAGAGGATCCCTACATTTGGGCATGAAGGTGCCATTCACTGGGATGGGGAGCCATCGGAGGGGATGAGTCTGTGGGACCCACTGGGTATGAGGTGTGTAGATCATCCATGGAGAACCATTTGCCCCTGCTTCTACCAGGTGACACCGCACTCCCAGTCTACATCTCTGTCTTACGGACCAGGGAGTCCTCAGCATTCCCAGGTGAGGCTCGTAATGGCCATAAAGAAGAAATCTTGTTGCTAGCTTTAGAGACTGACTCTATGCGGAGCTCGGTTTGTGGGCTGTGCTAGCCACAACCTCAGCATGGCCTATCACTCAGAAATGTTTGGGAACCAGGTAATTTCCCAGACTCCTGGTCAGGAGGTGGGATTTTCCACCCCACAAGTCACTTCTCAGTTTTCCATTCAGCGCCTAGAAGCTCCATCCTGGCTGTCTCCATCATGGCGTTTGTGGCCCAGAGGCGAGGTCCCTGAACCTCTTGGGCAGCCTGCTGTTAGGGAATGGGGGAACAGAATAGTCTTCTACTGCCCTGCCCACCTCACTCCTCAGAAATGCCCTGTGTGCTGCAGGCAAGGACTTCCAGGGCTGGGGGAAGACCCTGTGGCCCCACAGGGCTGGCCTTGGCAGTAGAGTTCCCACTCAAAGAGAGAAAGTAAAGATGGCAGCTAGAGTAGGGGCTCAGTCATGAGGTGAGCCCCAGGGAAGCCAACCCTTGGCCTGGGCCAGCCCCGCTCTGAGCCCCCTCCATTCCTGGATGGCTTTCTGCCCTTGGCCTGGGCCAGCCCCGCTCTGAGCCCCCTCCATTCCTGGATGGCTTTCTGCCCCAGCCTCCATTTACTTCTCTGCCACCTGGACAAGGGACTTAAGAAAGAAGGCAGGGCAGCGTCTGACTCACTCTCAGAGGGGCTTGAAGAATGTTTAACGATAGAGGGGGACTGGCTGTTCCGTCCGGGTGGAGTACGGGACTCTTGATCTCAGGGTTGTGAGTTGGAGCCCACACTGGGCAAGGAGCCTACTTAAAAAAAATGTTTAAGGATAAATGAGCAAATGAATGATAGTAACAGCAGCTAATACAATATACAGTTTATTAAGTCACAGATATATTTTGCAAGCATACACACATATGACATATATACTGTATGTAGTAGATAGCTTTTAATTTTCAGAAAATGTAACCCTATGAGGTTAATGGAGAGACTCACTCTGGTGGCTCTAGTCTAAATGACTGAGTTATGTAGAACACCCGTGGTCCCCCCAGAGCTAGTGTCACCTCTGTGAGATGTTTTTCCAAGTTAGTGCCCCACCCGCACAGGAGTGGGGAGCCTGCGGGAGGTGGAAGGGGTTGGGGATGGGGACGCAGGCCGGGTTTGAGAGGCCTAGCCTGGGGGCAGAAACAAGCCTGGTGGAAGGGGGACTCGCAAGGGAGGGGTCCGAGGAGGCTGAGGGTGCCCGAGGCTGGGAGTGGCTGGCGCTGGAGGGACCGATCCACACGCAGATCGGCAGATCGGTGGAGCGGGGCTTCGGGCTGGGCCCCGCGGTGGGAGGGGGAGAGCCGGGCTCGGGGTGAGGGGCCGCACGCGGCCGAGGGGGCGTGGCAGGAGGCGTGACAGAGAGGCCCCGCCCCGCCCATCGCCGGCCCCGCCCCGCCCCGCCCCGCCACCTGCCGCCCTCCGGCCGCCGGCGCCTGGGGTTTCGCTTTCCGTCCCAGGCGCCGGAGGCTGCGGAGCGCGGAGAGGAGGCGCGAGGGCGCGACAGTCCAGGACAGCCGGACTCGCCCGCGCTCGGCCGCCGCCTCCTGCACCATGGCGCCCGCCGCCGTCTGGGCCGCGCTGGCCGTCGGACTGCAGCTCTGGGGCGCGGGGCACGCTGTGCCTGTCCAGGTGGGTGACTCGCGCGGCCCTTACGCCCCCCGGCTGGCGCGCACACCCCCGTCCCGGGGCGCCCTCGCCGCGCTCCCGCCGGGGCGCCGTGCCGGGGCTCGGGGCCACCCGGGCGCCGCCCTCCGCCGGCCAGATGGACGCCGCCAGCGCGCCTAGACCCCTGCTGGGCGTCCTCTCCCTCCGGTGCCCGAGGCCGGTGTGGCACACGTGCGTTCGGGCCACCAGAACTTTGGTCCCCGCGGCGCAGCCCGGCGCCTCCGCCCGCGCAGGCACGGGTGTTTGGGGGCTGGCAGGCCGGCCGGCCGGCCCTGGGCTGATCCCCGCCACAGCCTGGACCCCAGCTCGGACACCCCTGCCTGCCTCCCGCGGCGGGGGGAGGGGGCTCCGTACTGGGGCGCTGTCCCCACTGCGGACGCGGGCACCCTCTTCAGACTTCCTCCTCCTCTGGGCTATGGTTTTCCTCTTTCTTAGAAATACCAGGGTTGCGCGCCTGAGAGAACAGGGCCAGGTGTGCAGTAAGCGCCTAATAAGAGCACGGGAGGACCGCCGGCTGTTTCCTGAGCTCTTTGCACAGACCCCCTCCCCAGGACCGACTTGGGATGTCCGGGGACCATTTCAGAGCCAGTTCTCTGTGGGCTCTGGGTGATGGGGAGGAGACAGTGTCTTCACCTTTTCCTGGGCTGAGCTCTGGGTGCACAGGATGTGAGGGAGGACTTCTGGGCTGGTTATTAAAGTCAGAGGGGTCCCTTAGGGACTCCAGGAACATAAAGAAAACAGAGGCCCCAGAGATGAAGGTCCGTACCTGCGTCCAGTAGCAAGGTAGAGTCTGCAATGGGATGGCTCATCCTTTGCCTTCTTTGGCTGTCTCCATAGTCTGGTAAGATAGAGTAACCCCATTTCACAGAGGAGGCAAACAGAGGCTCAGAGAACTTGTATTTCATGGAAAGGCATGGGGGCGTGGGGGCACTCTTCCTTTAAAGGCGGACATTTCTCCCTCCACATGATCCCTCCTCATGACCTTACCCTGATGTACGTGCAGTGTGCCGACTCAGGTGACTTTCTTGACCGGGACGAGGGTAAAAGGTGGCATTGGCTCATGTGGTAATGTGAAGTGATTCACTGGCTGCGGCTAGAGGCTACTTTCGAGTCCAGTTCTTGAGGGCAGGCATGGAGGCTGTCAGAACAGAATTGAGTCAGCAGCAGCGGGTGCCCATATGTGCCCTGGGGGGCTGCCCCAGAGGTTGTCCTGCAAACAGAGGAGGGTCAGGAGAGAGTCCCGGATCTGAGAGCCTGAGCGCAGGATCAAGTCACAAACTCAGGCCTCAGGGGGTGTTGTCCTGCGCTGGTGAACCTGGGGTCACGGGAGCCCCTTGGGAAGGGCTTCTCTTTGGGGCACCAGGCCCGAGTCCTGGAGTAGCGTGAGGGGTCCTCCATGTCTCTCACTTCCCAGCCCTCCTGACCAACAGGTTCCCTCCCCCCGGCACTATCTCCATAGCCTCTCGGGCTGGTCTCCTGGCCCCTGCTGCCTCTCCCACCGGTCTGTCTTGGTGGCCTCACTTCTCTCTCTCTGCCTGAGAAGCCTCCTATGGCCCCCATTGGTGGAGGCAGCACTTCCTTGCAGTGTCCCAGGTTGGAGTGAGCCAAGGATCTGGATTCTTTCTGCATCCGTACCCCACAGCCAGTGAGATGTGGTCCCTGAGCTGTCTGTCCCCTTTTCATGGTACTCCCCTTGCCCTCTCCTTCAGGGCCTTTCCCACATGCCTCCCCCCTCCAGGAAAGCCTTTCCTCATTCTCCCAGTTGGCCTGGATCTTTGGCTCTTTGTTCCTCCCAAGGACAGACTCTGTTCTGCTTTTTAATCTAGTTGTGTCTTATCTACCTCGACCGATGGGAATTTTCTGGAGTGCGGGGCCTGTGGGGTCCTCTTCCTTGTTAGGACCGCAGGAGCTCCTTTTTCGGAACAGAGTGCCAGGCACTGTCCGAGGCCTCCCGAACAGAACCTCACTGAGAGCTTCCTCACAGCAACTCCTGAAAGGGCCTGGTGGCTGTTTGCATTTGGAGATGTGGACACTGAGCCCCAGAGAGGCGGTGACATTTCCCAGGATTTCGGAGCTGGGGGTGGTTCAGGGCTGTGGCGACTTGCATGCAGGTCTGCCTGATTGCAGAGCTGCTGCTGTACCCTCCCCGTGTCTGGATGCCCCCCCTGCACCCGTCAGGTCCCGCGCCCTCACTGTGGACTCAGGAATGTGGGCTGTGACTCAGTGGCGTTGCTGAAGGAGCCCCCAGTAGACCCGACCTGGCTGCGGGGGTGGCTGACTCACTGCCATTAGGCTTTTGGCTCCTTTAAAAGCCACATTTGCTGGCCGGCGTGGAATGCATCGGCCCTCCGTCCAGTCATTTCACTCATTCATTCGGCAAATAAAGGGCAGGAGAGCCGACACTGTGAGTGAGCCCTTGGTGCCCTCTGATGGCGGTAGGCAGGGTCCCCAGCTGTCTGTCTGGCTGCTCGTGTGCAGGGATGGGGTCAGGCCCACCTCCCAGTGCAAGTCTTGAGGCTGAGGGCTCAGCGCTTGCCTCTTCATGACCCTGGGGGCCTGGGGCCAGCTTGAGTTGAAGAGAGAGGTTGGAGCTTCCAGACTGGCCTGGGGATGGTGGTCTCTGGTGTGGAGATGGGTGAGCAGGGGGCCTGCAGTCCCAGGATGTTCCTTTGGCCCCTGCCTGACATCCCAGAGGGGGACCTGGGTGCTGAGTGAGAGCGTGGCCTGGTGGGGGGGGCGCTCCATCAGAGGGCAGTGGGCAAGCTGGCCAGGCACTCCCAACGCGCGCCCTTCATTCATTCCCCCAATGTTCATGGACACCTACTCCAAGCCCCCCCTAGTGCTGGGCTCTGGGAACGTCCAGATGCCCATGACCCGGCTCCAGCCCTCCAGCAGCTGCATCACCAATGGTCACGGACCTGGGCTCTGCCCCTACCTGCCCTCGTGACCTCGTGACCTGGGCCAAGTTGGGGAGCCTCCGTTTTCCTGTCTGTGGGCATGTCTCCTTACAGAGCCGAGTGGGTATGAAAGACATTGCAGCACCGATGGCTGAGAACCTGCCTGGCATTTTTTGGTCGGGTGGTGACCCTCACTGCCATCCTGGAGCCTGAGCCGGGGCTCCTGGAGTGCCATTCCTCCCCAGGGCTGGGAGATATTTTATGGTCCTGACCATCTAGTGCTTCCTGAAGGAATAGCCGGGAAGGTTGTGTGTTGGGCGGGGAATTTTGATGCCAACCATGGTACATGTATGTTTGTGTGTTTGTGTGTATGTGTGTGTTATATTGAACACCACTTCTCAGTTTTGCGCCACGCTGGCTGCTTCTGTGGCCCTTGAGCATGCCACACACCAACAACTACCGCAGGACCTTTGCACTTGCCTTGCCCTTCATCCTGGAAGTTCCTCCTTTTGAGATCCCTAGTCTCATTCACTCTACTTCTTTCTGCTCAGATGAATTCTTCTCAGCCATTCTCTGACCACCCTGCCTAAAAAAGTTCTCCCTTGCCTGACCTGCTTTGTTTTCTTTCTTTTTTTTTTTTAATTTTTTTTAAAGATTTTATTTATTTATTTGGCAGACAGAGATCACAAGTAGGCAGAGAAGCAGGCAGAGAGAGAGGGAGAAGCAGGCTCCCTGCTGAGCAGAGAGCCCGATGCGGGGCTCGATCCCAGGACCCTGGGATCGTGACCTGAGCTGAAGGCAGAGGCTTTAACCCACTGAGCCACCCAGGCGCCCCTTTGTTTTCCTATATAATACTCATCAACCTGTTCTGTTTCTTTTGCTTTCCTTGCGCCTTGCTCCTGGAATGTGAGCTCAGTAAGCCCTCAGTAAGGGCTCGCTGCTGGAGACTCGCAGCCTAGAACAGGGTTTCTAGTGCTCCTGACACTGGGCCACGTAGTTGTCGTGGGGCCGTCCCGTGTCTTGTAGGGTGTTAAGCAGCATCCCTGGCCTGTACCCCCTTGATGCCGGTAGTAACCACCCTTCCGTTGTGTGACAGTTAAAAACGTCACCAGGTATCGCTAAATGGCCCTTGGGGAAGATACTGCCCTGGCTTAGAACAGGGCCTGGCATGTAGTAGGTGCTAAAAAATATTGAATAAATGAGCAACAACATTCCTTTGACCTTTATTATGGCCCTGTTTTATGAATAAGACAGAAGAGTGAAAAGCCAGGGGTGGCAGGGCTGGGGTCCAGTGTGTCACTCTCTGGCTGGGATGTTTCTCTGGGCTCCTCTTCATGTTGTGCTTGGGTCCTCTGAGCCTAGGGGTGCTCTCCCTAAAGTGCTCCCTCCACTCCTGTACTTCCCCACCCGAGCCCGTGACGGGGCCACCCACTGGCAATGACTCAGGGCCCCGGTAGGCATGTGACCTGCCCAGAAGCAGGCAGGGAGGGAAGCTGGGGGTTAGGGAGGAGAGGGGGTGCCACCAGGGGAACGGGAACAGAGTAGAGATGTTGCCTCTCCCAGTTCCGGATGCGCTGACGGGCCAGGGGGAAGCAGTATTGATGACCTAGGGGAAGGGCCCAGGCCTCAGAACCAGGCAGACCTCAGCTCAGATCCTTACTCTGCTGTTTACAGGCCGTGTCATTCTGATTCTGGGAGTCTCTGTGTTCCCCTCTGTAAATCGGGGAACAACCCCCACCTCCGTGGCTGGCCGTCAGGGCTGAAAGTGACCCACGGGCCACAGGGCTCCCGAGTGGCTCCCGAGCATCTGTGGTTGTGTGGGGCCTGACCTGACTCTGGGTGGAGGGGCAGTGCTCTGGCTGTGGCAGGGACCACCATGGAGTGTCTGAGCCGTGGGGCCCCAGGGTATGGGGGATAGACCGCCAGCTGCCCAGAGCTTCTGCCCAGCGTCCCTGAGTGCAGCTCAGTCTGCCTGCCTTATCCTGGCTGTCTTTCCTGCCCCCGTGCTCCTTGCTGGGCCTCTCACAGCACTTGTCCAACTGCCTGGCCTTGACCGTAGCATGTGGC